AATTACCAGACAATTCAGCTACTTCATCATTGCCACTCCCAATCAGCAGGCTTAGGCTAGTCTGGGAAAGTAGCAGACTCCGGCGTTTCGACCTTCTGGGTCTCGTCAGTGGTGCGCCTTCCAGATAGTGGAAACCCTTCAGGAGTCCGGCAAAATCAATATGAATGCGAGACCATGGTCCACTTGGAGTTTTCTAAGAATGAAGCTCACATTCGACAGGTAGTTTTGCTGCCATAGCGAGGTGTTGCAGGAACGAACCACATTTTCATCATCCTGGTCCAAGAATGGCCAGTAGTCATATCTGCGGGCTATGGATTTCATACGACGGATTCCTGGATGACCTTCGTGGAACTAATTGGGAACCTTCTTTTGTAGAATCTTGGGAATCACAATTAGGTCAGATAAGATCAAGCAACCATCAATGGTGGTTAAGGCGAATTTCCTTTTGCGAAACTGCTCACCGTCCCTGTCCAAGGGGCGTGCAGGCCAACCAGTGTTAAGGTACCCATTAGTATGTTGTAACAGGGGATCTCTTGCTGTTTCTGTTCTAACTGCGTCTGCTGTTACTGGAAGTTGACGTACAGATGTTTGAAATACTTGGCTAATCCCGGGATCTAAGATAATGCTGGACACAACAATGTCTTCATCCGGTGTCTTGGAAATGCAATCGGCAATCAGTCTGGCTAATGCGTCAGCATGACCAGGCGAAGAGCTACTTTTAAAACGCCAATCGAACTCATATGCTATTAGGGTGATTGTCCAATGCTGTACTCTGCTGGCCATGTGAACGGGCATACCTCATCTGGTGGCAAAAATAGATAGCAAGGGCTTATGATCTGTGTACAAAGTTACTTTGCGCCCATGTACCATCTTATGAAATTTCCTAACCGCAAAAACGAGCGCTAGTCCTTCTTTCTCTATTTAATTGTAGTTCTTTTCTGCTGCTGTCAACGCGCGGGAAATATGCATCACAGCCTTTTGATGTTCATTCGGGAACTGATACAACAAGACACCACTGATACCGTTTTGCGACGCATCAGCAGCGACAATTATTGGTACTCCTGGGTCGTAATGAGTTAAAAGGAGATCGGAGAACACTATATGTTTAATGGCATCAAAGGCTTCTTGGTACTGAGACGACCAGTACCACACTGGCTCGTTTGCCAAAAGTGCATTTAGTGGGGTCCGGAGTTCGTGCATCTATCTGAGGGACAAAGTTGTGAGAATAGTTACCTACACCATTTCTCGGCCAAGTTGTCGTCTTGGGCAACAGAATTAATCTGAGGGGGCATCTAACATGCGTCTACTCGATTAATTTGAGCCGTGCGTACGCCACTTACTTGTGCAGGTGTGCGTGTATAGCCCGTCGACATAACTGTCCACGACGAACTGGACGAGGCAAGTTACGGACTTTGGTATCCGATGGCAACAACCTGCTTTATGCACAGGAGACATTGATAAGTGTCGGGAAATCCTGTGCTATGTTGCAAGAGTGGTGTGTGACTGACGTAACACGGAAACAGCAAATTCCTCATCCTTTCTACTTGGGGATCGTGCTACCGTGCCATCTCGTTGTAACGAGATGACGCAACCAAAATTGCAGACATCTCCAAGTAGCAAGGATGAGGAATTTACTGTTTCCGTGTTACGTCAGTCACACACTACCCTTGCAACATAGCACAGGATTTCGTGACACTTATCAGTGTCTCCAGTGCATAACGTAGGTTGTTACCATCGGATACCAGAGTCCGTAACTTGCCTCGTCCAGTTGGTCGTGGACAGTTATGTCGACGGGCTATACACGCACACCTGCACAAGTAAGTGGCGTACGCACGGCTCAAATTAATTGAGTAGACGCATGTTGGATGTCCCCTCAGATTAATTCTGTTGCCCAAGACGACAACTTGGCCGAGAAATGGTATAGACCCAAGAAAGACTGCAAAGTAGCTGTGTACATGGGGTGTGGCATTAACTTGATGGCTTGGATTTTCTTTGGGTCTGGCCGACGACCGGAAGCATCTATAACCGAGTCAAGGTATGTGATACTGGGCATCATAAGCTTGCACTTCTCTGGACGTACACGAATTCCATATGAATCTATCCTGGAGAATACTTCCGTCAGGTGGGTGTAATGATCTTCAGTGGTGGGGCTTGCAATTATTATGTCATCCAAATAAGCCATGGCACACTGTAATCCGGATGGCATAGCGTCCATCACTTGTTGAAAGATCGCTGGAGCACATTTTACTCCGAAAGGCAACTGATTGTAACGTTACAAGCCGCAATGAGTGTTAATAGTGAGCAGTTCTTTTGAGCGCTCCTCGACCACTACTTGCAAGTATGCATCAAAAAGATCAAGTTTAGCAAAGATTTTTCCTCCATTAAGCTTTGTGAATAAATCCTCGGAACCAGGCAAGAGTTACTGATGCGCTTCCAGTGCGTTATTTAATCCGGTAGAAAAATCAGCACAAATACGCAAACTGCCAGTAGACTTTCTGACGACTACAATAGGAGCGGTCCACGCTGAGTACCTCACAGAACTGATGATGCCCATGGACTCCAGTCGACTAATTTCGGCATCCATAGCCTCAACAGCAGCGTATGGTACTGGTCTTTTGGGACGAACTGCTGCACGTACACCGGTACGCGGATACAACACAGATTTTATCTTGGAACACATTCGAAGACCCTATGCAAAAACATCAAAATACTCAGAGGCAAACCTTGATAAAGCTTCTGCATTGTCTTTAAACATTACGAGTGCAACCGAACACTGAACATCGGTGGGACACAGTGAAAAACTCTCTGGGTTATCACAAATACTATTCAAAGGTATGCTCCATAAATTAAGTTTGTCTATCCACTCTAGGCATAACAAGTTCAAATGTCTATAACGTGTAATGTAACAGACACCAGTAGCATGCAAATCACGAAGTGTAAACTCAAAATTGAACTGTCCAAGAAAGGGTAATTCCGGGCCGGACGCGTCGTGAGCGACGTGTGAAATTTGACCACATGCAGGTTTACCGAGCTTGCTCCATGTCGACTCAGAGATTATTGTCATATCGGAAGCCGTGTCCAGTTGAAGCCGGACAGAAACACCGTTTATTACCGTGGTAACATACTTCCGTAATGACTGATACTTCGGGCTAGTGGTTACAAACACCACATTGAAAAGGCAACATTGAAAACTTGCAGTTTTCGCGAAGGCTCGTGACGGTCTTCCAGAGGCTCGCTGCAAACATCTGGTTTCTTTAGGTCCCATATTCCCACAACACTTGCAAATCTATTGTCGGAATTCACAAAATCGAGCGAAATACCACTGACCACAATGCCAACAACCACTGGACGGACAGCTGCGGCGTGCGAAGTCGGAGTGACCTACTGAATTCTGCGATGGCCTGGAGCGTGTAGGAATAGTATGAACATCCATCACACAAGACTTGTTGTACCGTTGGATCATTTCTGTGTCATGCTTCAGTGTCAATATGCGTTCACATTCTTGTACGAGCTCCCGTAGTGGGACTTCCGGCTTAGACTCCAACCGAGATAACAAACGTGTTCGAATTTTCGCATCTCTTGGAGAACGTAATCCACGAACAAAAATAAGCGTCTTAAATTGATCACTTGTGAGTGTGCTAGGCTGAGAACGTTCACATTTCCTGTTAACAATAGTTGCATAAATCACCAAATCATCCTTCTGGTGTTTAACAACATGAAAACATCGGAAACGTGTGTTGAAAAGTGAGGTTTTAGGGCCGAAAATTCTGGTCAGCTGGTTCACAGTATCGTCCAATGAGAAATCGCGTGGGTTCTTTGGTAGGATGTAATTAGATTACTTTTCATACTTTTGTGGACCCAATTTCCTCAAAAGTACACGTACGTGAGCTGCATCGCCTAGCTCACGCCCATCAATTTTTAACAATTCTTCCTAGCGGCGAAACCATGCTTCGAAAGTGAGGTCATCGTCCGGCTGGTAATGAAATTCTTCCATACTGTGCACCAGCTTGTCTGCAGTGGAAATCATTGAATCCGTAATTGCTGACTGTAACGATATTCGGCTTGTCAATGTTTCACTTAAGCGCTGCTGTGACGCCTCAAACGGTGCTTGCTGTCTGGGCAGCATTTCTTGAAGCAATTCCAAAGAGACCGTTATGGTTCCCTGTTGCCAGTCTATTATAATGTCTGATTTTACCTGAACGCACTATGAATAGGAAGCAAGAACATCACCGTGAGGGACGAGGTGTATTGAAAATCTGTCAAAGCTGAGCAACCGGTATGCAAAAGATCAATAGGCCAACCACATGAAAGGACATTGTCATGATTGGTGAGCAGTCTAGCTCTGAACGACTGTCGTGGATGTGTCCAACACAATCACGTGACGTGACAGTCACGAATATCAAACTGTCTAGCTCTGAACGACTACGAAGCGCAAGCCTGTCTAACACTAAGGAAGGGGAAGCAACAATGGTAATATTGATTTTTCGATCCATACTGTTTCTAGCGGCAGCGGCAATTGTCTGTTGTGGTCACAAACCAATTAGCACAAAGGCAAATACGATTAAATGTCTGAGATTTTAGAGTTTGTTTTATAGTGCTCGTTCTGTGGTTGGATTTTGGCTGACGCATTGTTCACTAAGCCACTGAGATCCGTGAGCAACACTTGGCCCAACGGATAGAACTTCAATGTTGACTTTAGAATACCCACCTTGTGGTTGAATTGCGACACGCATTCTCTAGTAAGACCTCGGCTTACTTTAAGTAGACCTCGATCATTCTGATCACAAGGACCGTATCCGAAGTTGATGGGTTTCGGTTTTGCTCATTCCAACACTGACACCCCACAACCGGTTTCGTTCTCCCTCGGACTTATCAGGTAAAGATAGCCGTTGACCATAATGCTCTGAGTTTCACTCCCAATCCAAACAATCTCTACCTGTTTTAGATTTTCTTAATGAAAGGCATGATCTGATCTTCATTCACCCTTGCCCGCATCACAGGCAACGTTGGCATTAGTGTGACAGATGAAATGGGTCGGGATGTCGCCATGGACACGCAGGATATGCGGGACGGCACCTTCCGTGTCGCGTACACAGCGAACACTCCGGGACCCACGTATACAGTACACGTGTTTTTCAACAATCAAGAGGTCCCCCGAAGTCCCTTCCGAGTTCCCGTCAAGCCCAACGTGGATATGTCCAAAATTCATGTGGAGAATTTGAGTCCAAGTGAGTTGACGGTCCGATTTTAACGTTAACCGTGGAAACATTGGTTCAATATGTGTACAAAGGAAGGTAAAGCTTGACATTTTTCATTGGATGGAAAAGTGAACAGTCCAAGAAACATAGTAGCGTAAATTAGAACAAACGGCAAGCATTATGGGATCCACCAGAAAGACATACTACGCACATTGATTGATTGTGTTACGTTGACACCCAGACTGTCGAGGCTATACAGCATAATGAATAGGCGTATCATCTAGGCGTTTTTTTACTACTGATATTGTGGGAGAAGAAACAACGTAAGTGGCGAGGGCGTTTCAAGATTAGCATACATGCAGTGACAAGAAATTCCGGCGGTATTGCAACCGGCTATACCATGTGGCCAGCTTTAGCTGCCGGCCTCTCAGTGTGTACTGTAATTCAGTTTCAGTAGGTGACGACAAGCGCGGTTTGGATTCCTCAGGATCTGAGATATCGTTACTGTCTACGCTAGACCCAAAAGGTTTTCCACCTCGGTGAGGGAGATGAAACATATCCTTTACCTTCCTGGTTGCCCTTCGTTGTGGCATTGCAAACGCGACGAGATCGTGTCTGTTCCAGGGTTACTAGGCATAAGTGACATATTCCGAACAGCGTCTAATGTAGCATTGAGCATTGGAGAGAAGACGGAAGGGTTGAGTCAGCCGTATATCTTCCGCAGTACACCAAGCTGTTGGTCAAATTATTTTGCATGCTTTCTCGGATTAAGGTGAACAGTCAAAATCGTCTTGTACTGTCACGCCTAGGTTATGTTTACCCCATAAGGATCGACAAATCCCTCTGTTTGTGGATGCTAAATTTGCCTTTCTACTGGTGATTTCTCGCCCTTTCTCTCAGCTGAAACATGATAAAATGTCGGCCCGCTGTTGTTATTTCTATCTACTTAAACTACACTCCACCATGACACGTGTGATGACGGGGTTTGGAAAGCAAGAGACCTTGCAATGCACTGACCATTTGGTCACTGCCCCAGTAGGCTAACTGCAAGCGGTTAGCAATCGTGTCGCCTCTCGGATGGTCGGTCCTACTTCTCGGTCGATCCTGCATCTCGATTTCAGCATATGGCCGTTGGTTTCTTTCCTCCATGTATGCCAACTGTCATTCGGGTTGTGCCACATTAAAAAATACCCCTACCACTTCTTCAACACCAACAACGCCCCAAGTGGCCAACTTATTATTGTCGTAAAGTAATTATCGAATTACACTCTCTTGTAGTATGCTTGACAGTATCTGCGGCAGTGAAGTTCAAGCCCCGTCATGCCAATCAATCTTGTCGATTCAAAAAAATAATTGTTGCCAATTAGAAACAGCTGCTGACTCGGAATTCTAAAAGAGAGAAGCGATTATTCAACAATCATCCAAGGGATATGTTACGGTCCGATTGGGTTTTTAGTGTTAGTTGATTACTCCAATGTCCCCGCAACTTATATTTCCTCAAAAGCAAAGCCCATCTGGGGGCGTCACAGTAAATGCTTTGCCTATGGCGTTCTTTTCATGTGCATTTGTTGAGTTGAACGTTTCGCTGAAGAAAGCTATCGCAGCGATGGACATAGTTTCCCCATTCCCCATTCGTCTTTGGCAAATAGCAGAGACAGGATAGTTCAAAACAGCCGTTGAAACAACACCTCCAGGGACCTAATATACATAACCACGTAGATTTAACTGTTTTGCCACTTATGCGTGTCCCATATTGGTGTGCTGATACGGTTCTACAACACGGAACGATATGTGAGCAATTTTCCATCCTTTGCCCTCAATACGAGTGACGCATTTGAGCAACCTTTTACTTGAGTTCATCAAATTATTCGCTTGATCCATCATCATTACTGGCAAAATGCGAAGTTTCCCTGCCATATCTCCAAGTATTTCATATGCTGCAATATCACTACTCATTCTAAACTGTGGAAGGGCTTTCGAACTGAACCACTCCTGTGAACTGCCGCTTTCATTGGCGTGGAGTCCTTCATACTTGAATAATCACCTGGCTCTGACCTGTTTTGTAAAATTTGAAACGTTGTTAAATGCTGCAAATTACTCTTCAGACTCTCTAAAATAGTCATAGCAGCGCTGTTATCAGTAACGTCGATCTGTTTAAATGGACATCATCACGGTTTGGCTGTGAAAGTTCCCGCGTTAGAACAGGTTACCCTTCCTCATTCAATGAACAATGAACAATGATATATTACAGGTAAAAAAGCGATTGCTTTACAAGTCCCGTAGGATGGTGGAAGTGAAAGTAAACATAAGTGTAAATCGTCAATTTCAGCATCTAGCGATTCAGGTGCACCTTATTCATATAAACATTTTAGAATGTCTACTGAATTGTTACTGTAGAATAATATGGGGAAGGTATGCCTTAAGAACAAAAGAAACGACAACGCTTACTCGTGCGTTGCTTTCTTGACTGATGTAATCGATGAATGCAGTTGTAATATATCCGAAACTATATTCCACAACAGCAGTGTGTAAGTAGTGAAGCACAAAGGCTGAGAATGAGCACCGTTGGTTCGCGTTTGGTTGACGTAGACATCTCTGATTATATAGCGTAATGTAAGGGGATAAGCGAATCATCCAGAAGTCTTTTGGAGACCGTTAGCGTGGGGGAAGAAACAACGTATGTGGGAAGAGCGTTCCATTGTTGGCACACACGAAGGGAAAAGAAATTCCGGCGGCATTCCAACCGGCTGTATTGTGTGGCCAGGTTTAGCTGGCGTCCTCTGAGTGTGGTATTGCTATTCAGCTTTTGTAGGTGACGACAAGAATGGTTTGGATTCCTCAAGATCATATAAAGCATTATCAAATCGCCACGCAGGCGTCGATATTCTCCACTGCAGACCCCGAGGGTTTTCAGTAAGGGGAGATGAAACAGGCCCTATACGTTCTTGGTCGCCCTTCGTTGTGGCAGTTCAAGAGCCGTAAGGTCTTGCTTTTGTCATGGCTGCCAGGCGTAGATGGCGCACCCAGAATGAGGCCAAATTTAGGCGTTTAGCATCTGAGAAAATATGGAAGGATCAAAGCGCCTGAATGCCCTCCGCAAATGACCAAGGTGTTGGTTAGCTTTTTTGGAGGCTTTCTCGGCCCGATGGGAACAGCCCAGATCTTCCTGCACTATCACGCCTAGGTCGCATTCCGTTGAAGTGCGCTGTAATATTTGATCTCCCAATCTGTACTCGCAAGTGGCTTTATGGCGTATGCTCAACACTTTGCACTCAGTAGCATTGAACTGAAGCAGGTTCTGAGTCGACCATTCGTAGACCCTGCCAAGATCATCCTGATGTGCTGCATTGTCGCTGGTGGCTCTAATGGCTCGCAATATCTTGAGATCATCAGCGAAGAGTAAGGAGTTGAAGTTGACCACTGTCGCAAGATCGTTTATGTAAATCAGGAATAGTCCTGGACCAAGTACTGAGCCCTGGAGCACTCCGCACTTAACGTCGATTGGGTCAGAGATGACGCCGCGAACTCTTACATTCAGATGTTGTTGAAGCAAGAAGTTGCCTATCCAACCGAGGATTGAGTTCATTTTAATGAGCGCTTTGAAACCCTCAAATACAGTTTCAAATGCTTAGGCAACCCAGAAAATCCCCATGGATTAGTGGATTCTAGGAAAATGGTAAAAAGTTGTCTTCTAGTACTGCTTTGTTCAAAAGCATGACATAAGTGTCACTGGTCACCTTCTGCAGCAAACAGTTATTCAGTCAACCGACGCTTCTGATATCTACATTGCCGTTACTTTTCTCCAAATGGATGCTTGCATTTAACCAGGATGCTCGCCTGTTTGCATATGGATTAAGTGTACTGAAGATGGAAGAAAACGGCTTTTAAACGACGAATTTGTAAGCACACCGAGCCATCATATCCACGCGCTTATCACAGCCAACTGCATTACGTATGCTTTATGATCGGAGAAATAGTTGATGTTACTCGATTCCAACATTGTACCGCACGACGCCTACGTCCTGGTTTTGATCCCTTCGCCTAGAGATCGCTGGGGCTAGGATTGAAGTCCGGAACTTAGCGCTTAATTGATAGAGCTATCTTCAGCACTAAGCCACTGAGTTTCGAGAGTACTATTGGTACTAGCCATTAGTGACCAAAGTTTACGTCCGATGAGATTGGGTTTAGAGGACCCAATCGGATCTTCTCTATCTGGTGAAATCAGCCGAAGCTTGCAATGCATGGCTAAACGAAATGGTCGAGGTTTGTACCAAAATAAGTCACAGTCCTAATTGCAACTGTGTGTCACAGTCAAAACCCGCAGCAGGCGCTTCAAACTACCATACACTGCGTCGTCTCTGGATGAGCACACAGCTTACCCGTCGTTTCCTATATGGTTGGCGAAGACGCGAGCGAGCTGTCCTGAGAAACGCTTCAGTATGGACCGAAACGAAAATGGTAACGCGGTAAACATGCTGAACGCGCCGGCCTGTTCGCGCTGCACGAAGGTCCTTCGGATTTTCCTCACTCAACATGCCCGGAAAAGCACTAAACGACCGTTTCATCCCCTCGGGACTCGTCAGCAGTGCGCATGTCTGTCCGATCGAGTTTAGCCGGTCAATGGCATAATGTGTTGTTAACAGAATGATGATTCGTCACGGCTAAAAATTCAAATGTTAATAACAGAGACGCGCGTGCCGATGAAACCACCATTTAGACGGCTGATGAGCACACCATTTGATTGTGTTGCGTTGTCTGTCGATGAACATCAGCTATATCGCGTAATGCAGATGGTTTACACACACACACGCACACACACACACCATACATGTTAGCTAGAGGTGGGAAACACCACAGCTACTGTGCCGCAATACCTAAAGGAAAAGAACGGAAGAAAATGCTACAGGTGCAAGTCAGCTGAGCTACCGGTAACGGATAGGCATTATTCCGGTAGGCTACCTGCCGGCTACTATGCAGCAGAAAATAAATAATTTACTATGCAAAATTATACAATGTTAAATAATGAGATC